GGAAAAAAGTGTGGTTAAATGCAATGCATTGTGGTAAATCCTGATTTTGTTGCTGCTCGCTTCCTTCGGTCGCTCCGCAGCAAATATGTAAATCAACAAATGATACCCTTCCCTATGACCAGAAACTCATCACGTGCTAAGCAACCACTGTGAGTGTCTCGAGAGAATGTAACTGGATTATTACGCTGACTTCAGGATTTTTTTCAGATTAAAATAGAAAATATTTGTATCTTTAAACTAATAAAAAAAAAACACGGAAACGTCTTTAAAAAATGGCTTTGCCCAAATTTTCTCTTGCTGCCCAAAAAATCTGAGTTGCCCAAAATTTGGGGGGGCTGCACCCCCCTCGCCCCTCCCGGCCCGTACGCCTATGATTATATTAACTGGTATACAAAAGTGATTTTGGTGGCAACATTTGTTAACTTTCCACTTGATATCTACCATATTTTGAATGACAGCAGTTTAAACAACTGTCAGAATAAGCTCCTTGAAAACCATACTTTTCCAGTTTACGTTTTAATGCCAGTGAACGAATATTATAAAATATATCGTAGCAAGTAACATATGAAAAATGGCCGATACTTTAATTTCCGGGATATTTGTGACTGGAATTTATGGGATACGGGATATTTGGTCAAAAAATTACAGGGATACGGGATATTAAGACCCCCCCTAATGTGGCCTCTTCTTTGAACCGATTCAAAACGAGCACTCTCGAAGGGAAAGTCCGGAGGAATAAATTGAGTCTTCAGGGTACAAAATCCAGCGGTTATGCCCATTTCTGAGATACACACTTAAATCGGCGTGAAGTTGTAACGACTCCTTCAAGATGGCAGCCCGTAACGCAAAGCGCTCGATCTGATCTCGACGATCTTACTGAAAAATAGAGGACTGCGAACAGTCTTATTTGAAACCTTCAAGGTACTGTAACAAATATGTACAATAACAACGTTTCTCGTGTTTAAGCTTACGGGTAACTTTTCTGCAATACTTGGTTTAATTAAGCGTGTCTTGTCTACCAAGATCCGATCTGCAATAGCGTCTCGTTTTATGATCGTATTATAACTTGCAATTTGTGGTAAAAAGGATACTTAGGGCCTATTTAACTATAATTACGTGTCTCAAGATTTAAGAATGCTCTTGCACCCAGAAATTAAGCAACCCTTTAAGTGTATATAGTTTATTCTCTCGCTAACATGCAACATGCATCTGTTATAACTCTAGTCTGGGCTAAAACTAGACAAGTTAACACTGTTTTTACCTGTCATATCAAGTATACAGAAGAAGGAAATTGCTCGCCTGTTATAGGCCGAAAAAGGAACACGAAACGATTAACGATGAGTTTGTTAGATACGTGTCTGTCGGAAAGATTCAACGTCGCAATCAACCACGTCAATCGTGATCTGTAACCTTAGACATACGAATTTCCTTTCAAAGTTTATAAGTTCGCTTGAGCTTTTCAATTGAGACCAGAGTATCGTTCACGGGACTTTTGGGCAGGATATTTTTGCGAAGTGTTGTAGTCTTGGCATTTCCTAGTCTGGTATCAACATTTCCCTACGGTACCTCATAGCACAGGCTAGCCAGTGTAGCATGGCGGTTTTGGTTGGGCGCGCTAAGTAATTTAGGCGGGCGGTCAGGCGAGCAAGGGCCGAGAAATCGCGAGGAGATTGGGGCACAGGGTCCAGAGGAGTTTCGTGTGAATAAATGAATGACTTATTTTTAAAAAGTCTCACCTTCAAAAATGTCTATGCTTGTCGCTTAGCAAGAATAATTAGCCCAATGGGATCCTCATGAATCTACTGTAAACGATTTCTTCGCTTCTTATCTGACCCAGATCGACTTTGTTGTTCGCCATTTGAAAATCAATAAACGCAAGCTATAGCCTCGCTGGCGCACAGCACGTCGCCCAAAGGGCGACCAAGGCACGAAGTGCCGAGTGAGAAAAAAAAGGACAAGGGAAGAAACTTGTACCACGTGACTTGGTTCGCTGTGAACCGCATCACTCGGTGACGGAAGTGAATGAGACCGGAAATGCATAAGCAACAGACCGTTACTAATTCGAGAATCAAAACATCAGCTGTCGAGGGAGTTTTAAAAATAATGCATGGAGGCTTCTCCATTGAAAAGACCCGCTCCGTTACGTTAAAAGCAGCCGGACTAGAAGAGATCCAAATTATTGAACAGAGAAAAACACGTCTTTGTTTCTAAATGGTAAGATATCTCACACGTTGCTTTCAAACGTGAGCCACAAAATACCGTGTTTGATTTTTCATAGCAATAAAAGGGGGTGGTACTGGCTGCGACTTTCTGATCTCATGCCAAAATGCTGCTCGTTACAATAAAGGTTTGTTTTTCTACTGGTTAGATTATGCTCTGGAAGGTTCTACATTTTTACTGAGCAAATGTGATTTTAGCCGCCTGTTTCACACTGCGAGGTCATGACACACATATCGATTTACTGTGCGATGCAAGCGCATTTTCTTTGACCTCTTTTGAAGCGTAAAGCTTTTTATTACGGCTGAATTAAGGTTCCAATTTTCTCCAAAATGCCGTCTGGATCTGAAAAACCAAGCGATTGTCTTTAGTCCGTGAATGTAATGTTTTTCTGCAATGCTGTATCACGCTGGGCCCAGCTCGTTAGTTTTCTGTGCAGAATGTTAAATTATCACAGTAGTGATTTACAAAATTATAAGAATGAAGTGCAGCTTAAAAGCTACATCAAGTTACTATGGAGAATTGAATTGTGACTCAGTAAACTCCAGCTTAGTGTTTTTCTAAAGATAGTTTGAGTCATTTGACTGGAGCGAGTAGTTCCTCCCTTGGTAATAGCTTTTGAATAAGCTTAATAGTCACTGTATTTCAACTGTTTTGTTATTGCCACTTTGTGATCAGGCAAGACCATGGTTTCGGTTCTCCACGCGAACCTCATCAGTTGCTGGGTTGGCCTTGTACTTAGTTGCTTTTACAAGAGCAACTTTAGTTGTACTTTATCTTGGCGAGAACGGTACAGCCGTTCTAGACTACGAGTAGTCCCCCATTTTTCCTCAGGGATAGTGGAGCGAGCAAAACGTGAGCGCGCGTGAAAATCAACCCACGCGAGAAAAGGCGACACGCGGCGGGGAGAGAGAAAAATGAGGGACTACAGACAAAGCCCAAGCTTTTGACCCTTCACGGCAGACTGATTTCGGAGTGTGAAGTTCGTATCCCCTTCCAAATCAATTAAGCGCATCCAATGGGATTCCTTCCGTCATTGAGCTGTCATTGCTCTTGTCATCGGTAAACTGCGGGGGATACTTATTGGAAGCAAAAGAAAACCCAGATACTTATTTTCTTCACGGTTGTTTCGCCAAAATGCTGCTTGTTCCAATGAATTTTTTTTCTTTGATGGATAGATTATGCTCTGGAGGAAAACGTTTTGACTGAGCAAATGTGATTTTTGCCGCTTATTTCATACTGAGAGGTCTTGACACGCATATTAATTTTCTGCGGTTATTGTTTATGGTCGGCACGATTTGCCCACTAATGCAAGAGCATTTTATTTCACCTCTTTTGAAAAGTAAAGCTCTTCAATGCGGCTAAATAAGGGTTTGGGGTTGTTTAATTTCTCCGGCGATTGCCTCCTGGATCTGAATAATATTAAGCGATTTTCTTTTTGGCCGTGAATGTGACGGTTTCCTGCAATGTTTTGTCACGTTGGGCCCAGCTCGTTAGCGTTTTTACTGTTTTTAGCAGGACGGATAGCGATATCCAAATCTCTCGTGGGGTGGTTTTCACGCGCGCTCGCGTTTCGCTCGCTCTACTATCCCAGAGGAAAAATGGGGGACTACTCGTAATCTACAGCCGTTCTGTCTATTGAGCTTTGATCTTTGCATGTGACAGACAAATTCAAGCAATTGCGCATGTCAATCCTCTTAACATTACTTCCGATCTTGCGTACATTTACTTTATACGTCATTTCCGTCAAACGAAAGCGCTATCTCGAGGCCGTAAATTTCAGTCGCCGAAAATAAATTTGAACGCTTTTTATGCCGTTTTCCTACAGTATTTGGCAAATACAAAAAAAATTCTAGATCAGGTTAGTAAAATCAGGCGATTTCATTCAATTCCATTTGAGTTTCAGGGATTCGAAAATCGGCCCCAAATTTGTTTCCTCCCTAACCTGAGATCAGGCTCAATTTTCGTTTCGCTTTGTAATAACATTCCGGCGGGCAAGGCGAAACGAGTAGCCGTTAGAGAGAATGCATGAGAACCACTAAAATTTGGTCTGATCTCCTCCCTTTCCGTATTACATACTGTAAGCCGATCTTGCGAGCCGTCAGTCTCTTGGTTAGCGGGATATGGAATGTGTAACGAAACTGAACGCGATCAAAATAACCCATTTTTTCAGAGGTTTTTGACGGATTTTGATGTTCTAACGACAAACACATCTCCTCTGGACCCTGTGATTGGGGCTGTAGAAATGGTTCATAAAACACGGAATTTAGCACCTTTTGGTCCTAAATGTCAATGTAATGTAAGAAAAATGAATAAAGGTTCTAAAAAATGCAATATGTTGATGAGTGCTGTCACGTTTTCTACGAATGGCCTCTGAATACAGTACTTCACAAAAAAATACTGCACCATCAAAGATGGCGCCCACACTTACGATTTCATTGCAGACAAAACCTGCTTGTTACTCTCCATTATTCTAAAAGTTTTAAGTGGATGAGAAGTAATCGGAACACAGGGAAAATGTATAAAATAATATATACAGAATTTTTGAAAAGATTTTGTGGTTGAGCAAAACCTCACTCGTCCGAAGGGCGACTTTTGAAGTTATCTTTCGTCCGTACGAGATTGTAGTTGTCTGTCGTCGTCTGGGACAACCAGACGACTGGGAATATATGGATCCCTGCTGCAATGCTGGGGAGTAAAGCAAAAACAATTTTATGTTTGATTATTTATCTTAATATTATTGTTACTTCAGGAACTTCATTGTTAGCATGTAACTTTTAGGAATGTCCACAGTAACACAAAAGACTGACGCTGAACCCAACAGTAATGAACCGCCCAAACTTAATTTTGACCTGTTGAAGCCAGAGAATCTTCCTAGTCTGTCAAAAGATTGGCCAGAGCAACCAGTTGATATTTTGTTGGTGACAGGGGAAAAACACGAACTTTTAAGCTGTCTCTCTCATTTAGATAAAGAATCGATGTACAAAAGCTATAAAATGGCTATTGGACATGTGTTCTTTGGCAAAATTGGTACTAAACAAAAAGACTTAATGAAAATCGCTGTAATGGAATGCCATGTGGGGGCTATAGATACCTCTATTGCCGTATTAAAAGCTGTTGAAGAGTTGTGTCCTAAAGCTGTAATTTGCGTTGGATTCTGTGGTGCTTTGGATGACACGAAAATAAACTTAGGAGATGTGGTAATTTCGAAAAAGGTGAGAACATATGCATCAGTATCAGTAATGGAGGAAGGCATTAAGGATCACAACATTGCTGTTTCGGTATCCGCAAAAATTGGAGGAGTATTAATACGAGCAGATGACGGTTGGAAACCACCTTTGGAAAATCCAGAGGAATTTCATCCGACAATATATAAGGAAGGTGTGTTTTTGAGTGGTCCAGAGCAGGTTAATAAGAAAAAACGATGTGACGAGCTAGTCAAGCTTTTTCCGGATGCTGTTGCTATAGAAAGACAAGGTGAAGGTAAGAGGTTTGAAAGTTTAGGAAATCCCAAATGTATGTTCCCCATACATGGACTGAAAACCTCAAAATATCACCATACAAATTTATAAGACTTGCATTCAGATTACAGAGTTTAAAGTACTATTAATATTTTGCCTTGCAAATTAAAGGTAATAGGAAAATATGAATTCGTCTTAAAAGCTACATGTAATCTTGATTTGAGGCTTTTTAGTTTCATTATAGTTTTTTATATAGTCGTCCATTGATTGTAAAACTGTACAATAATTCTCCTTCATATCTTTAAAATACAAGAATACCGTAAATTTCCAGATTTAAGCTCCTCATTGTACCATAATCTCTCTTTTAAGCCGCCTCACGTGTGAACTGCTGATTATGCATGCAAAAATGAATTTGACTATTGGCAATGACCGATGACACGAGTGATTCAGTTGGCAAATAATTCATTAATAGTCTATTAATTAATTGATTATTAACTTTTAATGAAATGATCTGTGGTCAAGTGTACCTCGGCTCGATAGATTCTTAGAATCTAGCTCAAGGTCAGGGTGCAAAGAAAATCATTTTCACAGCTTGCCATTCGGGCAGGCTGAAGCTAACATCTACTAGCCCAGACGTCATTTCAACTTTTAAGCCCCAAAAACGTCTTGACTAGCAGAATTGACTTCACAGTTCTTCTGTTATTCGAATTCCTCAAAAAACATCACTTGCCCGTTGTGCAAGTTAAAAACAGAATTCACTAGCCTGATAGCAAAATCCACTAGCCCCGGGCTATCGGACACTACTTTCTTTGCACGCTGAAGGTACACTTGACCACAGGTCATTTCATTAAATTTTTGCAAGAAATATTATAGCTATTGCTCTAGAATATGAGAACAACACTTCTTGTAAATTAAATGTGCACAAGTTTTATTGACTGTAGTTATTATGGTTTGGTAAAACTAGTATTGAAAGTAATTAAAATTGCCTCAGTTAATTATTTTAATTCCATTGGATTGGAAACAAACAAATATGATATGAATTTTAAATTATTTCTGCTCATAGGAGTATACTAATTAAAAGTAGTTGTTTTAGACCATGAGAGCCATCGCTAAACTTGTGACACAGATGATGCAATATCTGCAAATGTCAATGTTAGAGGGCAGAGTCTGAGGTTATGCCCTCAGAAACTTTTGAAATCTAGATGAAGCTCTGAAATGCTACTACTAGTTTTTCTTACGATATTTCTTGAGTGAAAATCAATCTCATTTAAGTACATTGGGATACTTTTTTCTATTTAAACATACATAAAAATATACAATCAAACCCCTTTAAATTATATGGACAATGAGTGGGCCATAATGGGGTGTCCATATTAATACAAATATCAACCTTCCAATCACACACTACCAACTCTATGCATATGGTTGGTATGGCCATGGCCTGTGTACCTTGTGCATAGGCACAGCCATGTCACACACGGGCTTTGGCAGCAGCCATTGATAGCCATTTAAAGCGGGTTGAATTTAGAGAAAATGTAAGGGCCTTTCTTGAATTCCCCAGGGACAAAGCAAATTGCATGTCCTTAATTAATGAGGTGTCCGTATTAAGTGGTTGTCCGTAAAACGGAGTTTATTGACTGTATATATATATATATATATATGTGTGTGTGTGTGTGTTTTTTAATGTGGTTAAAATCTAGACGAGGGAAGTCCTTCTTTTAAAGAGATAACTAGCTTTGAACAAAGTTTTGTCTTTTTTAAACTCATGATTGAATTATTTGACAATTCTCAGCTCTGTTGAACTCCTTGCTAACAAACGTAAAACTTTCTTTTAAGGTCTATACTCAGCCGCACACGATCGCGGCATACAATGGGCTGTTATAAAAGGGGTCTCTAACTTCATAGATGGCAGGGAACGTGGAAACACAGATTCTTGGAGAGAATTTGCAAGTGCTTTGGCAGCATCTTTAACGTTTAATATGATCAAAGACGCCAATGTTTTTAATAGGTGGCGTCATCATGAAAGTGAGTATACTAACATTTAGTAGGGTGCTAAGGTGGCTGTTACAGTACAGTTCACTAGCTTAAGTAATTACCAAATGGTTTGATGTTGTTAGACAGGAATCAGAAGAATAATTCCGACAATGGAGAAGAATTTATAAGAAAAAACAGGGCTGATTAAGTAATTCCCCTGGAATACAAAATCACAAAGGAAACCAGGTTTGGCTAAAATTCAGTCATAATTAAAAAAATCTGCTGTTATATAAATCCCACCAACAGTTCACCCACGAACTTAATTAAATTAAAGAAGAAATTGGATTATATTTGGTTTTACACTAAGCGAAGTAAAAAAAAAATTGAAAAATCATGCAAATTAAGTTCCTTTCTTTTTCATGTGAGAAAACATTCCCCTCCAAAATTGGATCAAAAGAATACCTCCTGATCACTTAGCTATAAAGAGTCTATCTAATTTTAATCTATTTTTGCTTAGTGATGTGAACGTGGATCTTAGTTTATACATGCATTTTCTGTAAAAAAGAATTTATTTTTGCTTTAATAGGCCAATCACAAGAAAGCCGGTCAAAGAAAAAAGAGTCATGGGGTGGTCACCAGGGCAGCAAACGAGTTGAATCACAAACCAGACCCTTGGTAGGTAGGGTTGACAACAGGACTTTAATTTGGAGGCATTAAATAAATGCATTAAACTATACTCTCACTAAATACCTCTGATAGCTGAATTTTCCTGATGCAAGCTTTTAGGGGGTCTGCTTTTAGGCTTGTTTTGTATGCAGTTGTGATGTTTGAATCTGTAGACAAAAACCGTGCTGTGACCATTCAAATAAAACCTTTTAAGTGGCACTCTCTCTTGCTACCATAATTTGGTCTGAATATACTCTTTCTAATTTTTGAGTCTGTGGATGAAATTGAAAGGATGTGACTATTTAAACAAAACCTATTTGCATGCATGGTACTATTTTTTTTTTTTTTTACAAAATTAATTGGGGATTAAAGTCATATTTTTTTCCTTTTGGCCTGACCTTTACAGTCAAGCCTGCCGTCAAACATACCCCCCAAGATTCTGCTAATGAATATTTGTTTTAAAGTTGAATATGCTAGTAGGGTGTAGATTTCAGCTTCATCTCGACATCCCTGCAATTGTAATAAGCAGTGAATTCACGATCAAAGTAGTTCTGAAATTTCTGCTAGCTCATTTTTCTTGAATTACAGTCACTTTGATATAAATGTCTTCAAAGCAATTTTATCTATTCAAAGATTTTTCATTAATGTAGGAATGCAGATTTGAATTCAATACTGGTTGCGGCAATGCCGGTAATAGATTCATTTTTCAAATAATCGATTCATTAATGGCATCTTTTAGGGTACGCTTGGCCTGGTGTGACAGTGAGTGTATAGTATATAGTGTATAGTGTATATTTATTGTAAATAAGAAACTGAATGCAGGTAGCTGCTGACTGTAGTTAATACATGTAGTATAATCATCTGAGTGATGATACAGTAACATTTATAAAGGAGCATGCACCTCAGAAATACATATATATTAAATACAGTCTACACTGTGCCACTTACTGCAGATGCTAACTTATAAAACTTTGTCTGAGGATAGTACGTGTCACGGGTTTTGTGCAAATCTTAGATTTCCATGGCAAAACTAATGCAGGGGGCTACTGGGCAATGTTAGTCTTACCAAAATAATAGGTGTGATAATAGAGTTTAAAAGGTTGCATCTGCTTCTAAATAAGGAAAATTTTATAGCAGAGATGATGATGATGATGATGTGGACAATGATGATTGTGGAAGGCGTAATGATGGTGATGATTAAGATGATATTTATTATGAAGATGATGTTGCTGTGATAAAGTTGTATGATAATGAAAAAATGAAAAGTTTTTATCTTTTTCTTTGAAAACCTGGTTCAAGTACAGCCAGCTCCATGTGCCACGTGTACTGGTACCTTGCCTACAGCAGCTCAGACTCAAATGACAGTAGTTCCTCAAGCTCAGCCATCAGTCTTGATGCAGGTCCCTATATATAACCCTAACAATCAAGTGCTGTATGCTGCACCTGGTGCAATACCAGTGCACGGTATTGTCCCTCAAGTGGTGGCACAAAATCCAACTCAGCACCAGTCAGGCATGGTAGCAACAGCTCTTAGTCCTGCCGTTCCTAGTGTCCCTGAGCCTGGACAGGTGGATGTCAATACAGCTGCACCACATGGTGTGCCTGCAGTACAAGCAGTTGTAAGTGACATTATTCTCTGAGGCCCCCCGCCGATTCCCACCAGGATCACCTGCATCTCACACATGATTTTGGTTTTGTGGTAATTCTGTACTATTGACCCAAAATATCTTTTAAACATTTCATGTTCCCTGGATTTTCACTTCCTGATACCTTGTAATGCAACGTTTTTTCAAGGTACATTAACAAAGCACGATCATTAATAATTTTTATTCTTGTGATTCAGGATGGTCTCAAGGTATAGCCTGTTCCAGGCACTTAGATAGTAGAGCGCGGGAGAAAAACCCACGAAAAAAAAAATTGAGGGGAGAATAGGAAAAGGAGGGGTTGTTTACAGGCGTTCCCTCGCTTTTATCCCATTCTCCCCTTTTTAGTAAAATGTGCAGAAAATATCCGGACAGAACAGTTTCCTAAATCAATAGCTTCATGTATAGCTTGCATTGAATGAATCAATGCGTGCACTGTAGAGTGCCCACATGGCATCCATACGGACGTGGGTCAATAATATCAGACACCTGTCCTAAAAGTCTTTTTTTTGTAAATTCTTCTAGTACTTTTGCTAGACAGCTAGTAAGTGCAATTGGTCTCAAGTCCGATTTGATGTTTTGAGGGGGCAAACTCTAGGGACTGGTGAGATAATTGACCGTTTTAAAGTGTCACGCACAAAGTCCTCTCTCAATGATTGATTGTAAATATCTAGGATTACCACAGGCGTCTCAAGCTCACGTTACGAGTGTGTTATGTCAATAAACTTTCTCTCAAGAGAGTCGGTGTCGCGTTACAAGCAGCCGTTGAGACTTTATATTATGAGAAATAAAATACTGAGGTCTGCGAACGCTAAACATCATTATTCTTACTTATTCTTCTATAAAATCAATAAAGAAGACTTACCTTTGATGTATTCTTGTGTTTTTTATGTGAATTCATCGATTTTGTCAGGTTTTTTGGCTGTTATTTTTTGACCCCTGTCACTCTCTTCACAATACAAAGTAATACAAAAAAACATCAATTTGACTAGCCAACTCTGCAGGACTAGTGATGATGTCAGGTAGGAATTGATGGTACCATTCATGTGTCCTGTCCTGTAAGGGATTTGATGTCATGCCACATTTCTTGCAGTTAGTTTGAGACAGACTTGCTGTTTTCCCTCAACTTCACACAAAAACCTTTTGTCAGGCCTTTTTTTGTGCTCTGTTTTTCAAGTTGACATTATTGTAAACAAACTCAATTTGTTGTCATTGTTACACTGTTTGCTTTTACTGTTTTACTGTTTTTTAATCCCCTTGTTTAAATAATGAAATATAATTCAGTTAACATCTCCCATTTTTCTGTGCTGTCCGTTTACACCCTTGACTGAATTTTAACATATATTCTATATTTAGCAGGTGCAACAACAGCAGCAGCAGCAGCAAAAACAACAGCAGCTGGGCGTGTTACCCCGTTTGATGGATATAGTACCAGGAGCTCCTCACCAACGGTCTCCTTCTGTTGTCAAAGCAACAGGAGCCCCTACTAATGCACGTTCTGTTTTCCCTGATGCCAGTGTGGCACCGCAGCATTCTGCCACACCAGTGGTGTCCAATAATCCACGAGCATCACAGTTAGTAAGTAAAGGAGGGTAAAAGAGGGTACTATTCAGACGAGTCGCTATGTCGGTGCAATATTTTTTTAGCCGTTAACGAAGTTTAGCAAAGCCAACGGTCATGGCCTCTTTCTTGAAAGTCCTGTTAACCGTTTGGGAGCGTAGGACGCAGTTCGAGATTCAAAGAGTCATGATCAGACATTGATTTCACTTGCATCGTGATGTGAATGTATTCGTTTCAGGAGGAAATTACATCCAGAACATCTCCTTTTTTGTTTTTCTTTCTTTCTGTGTTATTTTTAGAGGTGCTGAAGATGCATTATTCTTTGAGCATTAGTCTAACAGATTTTCTGTAGACAGATTTTTTGGACATTTTTTGGGGCGTCGGGGGAGAGACGTCGATCAAACTCGACGTTAAAAGATCTGAGTTCATCTATTACTATTGAGTGGTCTATGATATCAAAACCTTTAGTAAAATCTGCAAAAAATATTCGGACAGAACAGTTTCCTGCATCAGTAGCTTCATGTATAGCTTGCATTAAATAACTCAATGCGTGTACTGTAGAGTGCCCATGGCGCGCATATTGACGTGGGTCAATAGTATCAGACACCTGTCCTAAAAGTCTTTTGTTTGTAAATCCTTCTAGTACTTTTGCCAGACAGCTAGTAAGTGCAATTGGTCTCAAGTCCGATTTGATGTTTNGCGTCGGGGGAGAGACGTCGATCAAACTCGACGTTAAAAGATCTGAGTTCATCTATTACTATTGAGTGGTCTATGATATCAAAACCTTTAGTAAAATCTGCAAAAAATATTCGGACAGAACAGTTTCCTGCATCAGTAGCTTCATGTATAGCTTGCATTAAATAACTCAATGCGTGTACTGTAGAGTGCCCATGGCGCGCATATTGACGTGGGTCAATAGTATCAGACACCTGTCCTAAAAGTCTTTTGTTTGTAAATCCTTCTAGTACTTTTGCCAGACAGCTAGTAAGTGCAATTGGTCTCAAGTCCGATTTGATGTTTTGAGGGGGCAAACTTTAGGGACTGGTGATATAATTGACCGTTTTAAAGGGTTAGGCACAAACTCGTCTCTCAATAATTGATTGTAAATATCTTGGCCTAGGGTGCTAATTCGAGTGCGAATTGCTTTAACATCTTGTTCGATATCTGGTCCCATCGCTTTATGTGTAGACAATTTGAGCAAGTCGGACGAACCTCTTCTAAGGAAACAATTAAATCTAGTGGAACTACGTTGGAAGGAGTTTGGGCTTGCATCAAGGTTTCGAACTCCTGAGTTGTACCAGTGAAAAAAACATTAATTTGAGTAGCCAGCTCTGCTGGACTAGTGATGACATCACTTAGGAACTGATGGTAGCATTCCCGCTTACCAAATGTGCCCTCTCCTCTCAGGGATTTGATGTCATGCCACATTTCGTGGGGTTAGTTTGAGCCAGACTTGCTGTTTTCCCTCATCTTTACAAAAAAAACTTTTGCCAGCGCATTTTTTTGCTCTGTTTTTCAAGTACACATCATTGTGAAGAAACTCAATTTGTTGTCATTGTTACACTGTTTTCTTTTCCTGTTTTACTGTTTTTTATCCCCTTGTTTAAATAATGAAATATAATTCAGTTAACATCTCCCATTTTTCTGTGCTGTCCGTTTACACCCTTGACTGAATGTTTCCATATATTCTACATTTAGCAGGTGCAACAACAGCAGCGGCAGCAACAACAACGACAACTGGGCGTGTTACCCCGTCTGATGGATATAGTACCAGGAGCTCCTCACCAACGGTCTCCTTCTGTTGTCAAAGCAACGGGAGCCCTTACTAATGCACGTTCTGTTTTCCCTGATGCCAGTGTGGCACCGCAGCATTCTGCCACACCAGTGGTGTCCAATAGTCCACGAGCATCACAGTTAGTAAGTAAAGGAGGGTAAAAGAGGGTACTATTCAGACGAGTCGCTATGTCGGTACAATATTTTTTTTAGCCATTAACGAAGTTTAGCAAAGCCAACGATCATGGCCTCTTTCTTGAAAGTCCTGTTAACAGTTTGGGAGAGTAGACGCAGTCCGAGATTCAAAGAGATATGACTAGATATTGATTTTACTTGCATCGTGATGTAAATGTATTCGTTTAAGGGGGAAATTACATCCAGAACCTCTCCTGTTTTGTTTTTGTTGTTTCTTTCTGTGTTATTTTTAGAGGTGCTAAAGATGCGTTATTCTTTGAGCATTAGTCTAACAGATTTTCTGTAGACGGATTTTTTTGGACATTTTTTGGGGCGTCGGGGAGAGACGTCGATCAAACTCGACGTTAAAAGATCTGAGCTCATCTATTAATATTGAGTGGTCTATGATATCAAAACCTTTGGTAAAATCTGCAAAAAATATCCGGACAGAACAGTTTCCTGAATCAGTAGCTTCATGTATAGCTTGCATTAAATAACTCAATGCGTGCACTGTAGAGTGCTCATGGCGTGCATATTGATGTGGGTCAATAGTATCAGACACCTGTGCTAAAAGTCTTCTGTTTGTAAATCCTTCTAGTACTTTTGTCAGAAAGCTAGTAAGTGCAAATGGTCTTAAGTCCGATTTGGCGTTTTGAGGGGGCAAACTTTAGGGACTGGTGATATAATTGACCGTTTTAAAGGGTTAGGCACAAACTCGTCTCTCAATAATTGATTGTAAATATCTTGGGCTAGGGTGCTAATTCGAGTGCGAATTGCTTTAACATCTTGTTTGATATTCCATCTGGTCCCACCGCTTTATGTGTAGACAATTTGCGCAAGTCGGATGAAACTTTTCTAAGGAAACAATNAAACCTTTGGTAAAATCTGCAAAAAATATCCGGACAGAACAGTTTCCTGAATCAGTAGCTTCATGTATAGCTTGCATTAAATAACTCAATGCGTGCACTGTAGAGTGCTCATGGCGTGCATATTGATGTGGGTCAATAGTATCAGACACCTGTGCTAAAAGTCTTCTGTTTGTAAATCCTTCTAGTACTTTTGTCAGAAAGCTAGTAAGTGCAAATGGTCTTAAGTCCGATTTGGCGTTTTGAGGGGGCAAACTTTAGGGACTGGTGATATAATTGACCGTTTTAAAGGGTTAGGCACAAACTCGTCTCTCAATAATTGATTGTAAATATCTTGGGCTAGGGTGCTAATTCGAGTGCGAATTGCTTTAACATCTTGTTTGATATTCCATCTGGTCCCACCGCTTTATGTGTAGACAATTTGCGCAAGTCGGATGAAACTTTTCTAAGGAAACAATTAAATCTAGTGGAACTACGTTGGACGGAGTTTGGGCTTGCATCAAGGTTTCGAACTCCTGAGTTATACCAGTGAAAAAAAAACATTAATTTGAGTAGCCAACTCTGCTGGACTAGTGATCGGTGATGACATCACTTAGGAATTGATGGTAGCATTCTCGCTTACCAAATATGTCCTCTCCTCTCAGGGATTTAATGTCATGCCACATTTCTTGGGGTTAGTTTGAGCCAGACTTGCTGTTTTCCCTCATCTTTACAAAAAAACCTTTTGCCAGCGCTTTTTTTTCTCTGTTTTTCAAGTGGACATCATTGTGAAGAAAGTCAATTTGTTGTCATTGTTACACTGTTTGCTTTTACTGTTTTACTGTTTTTTTATCCCCGTGTTTAAATATCGAAATATAATTTAGTTAAGATGTTGCATTTTTCTGTGCTGTCCGTTTATACCCTTGACTGACTGTTAACATATATTCTATATTTAGCAGGTGCAACAACAGCAGCAGCACCACCAACAACGACAATTTGGCCTGTTACCCCCTCTGATGGATATAGTACCAGGAGCTCCTCGCCAACGGTCTCCTTCTGTTTTCAAAGCAACAGGAGCCCCTACTAATGCACGTTCTGTTTTCCCTAATGCCAGTGTGGCACCTAAGCATTCTGCCCCACCAGCGGTGTCCAATAGTCCACGAGCATCACAGTTAGTAAGTAGAGGAGAGTAAAAGAGGGTACTATTCAGACGAGTCGCTATGTCGGTACAATATTTTTTAGCCATTAACGAAGTTTAGCAAAGCGAAATGTCAGGGCCTCTTTCTTGAAAGTCCTGTTAATAGTTTGGGAGCGTAGACGCATTTTGAGATTCAAATAGTCATGAATAGACATTGATTTTACTTGCATCGTGATGTGAACGTATTCGTTTGAGGGGGAAATTACATCCAGAACCTCTCCTGTTTTGTTTTTGTTGTTTCTTTCTGTGCTTTTTTTAGAGGTGCTAAAGATGCATTGTTCTTTGAGCATTAGTCTAACAGATTTTCTGTAGACGGATTTCTTGGACATTTTTTGAGGCATCGTGGGAGAGACGTCGATCAGAGAGAGTTTGATCGACGTTAAAAGGTCTGAGTTCATCTGTTAATATTGAGTGGTCTATGATATCAAAACCTTTAGTAAAATCTGCAAAAAATATCCGTACAGAACAGTTTACTGAATCAGTAGCTTCATGTATAGTTTGCATTAAATAACTCAATGCGTGCACTGTAGAGTGCTCATGGCGCGCATATTGACGTGGGTCAATAGTATCAGACACCTGTCCTAAAAGTCTTTTGTTTGTAAATCCTTCTAGTACTTTTGCCAGACAGCTAGTAAGTGCAATTGGTCTCAAGTCCGATTTGATGTTTTGAGGGGGCAAACTTTAGGGACTGGTGATATAATTGACCGTTTTAAAGGGTTAGGCACAAACTCGTCTCTCAATAATTGATTGCAAATATCTTGGGCTAGGGTGCTAATTCGAGTGCGAATTGCTTTAACATCTTGTTTGATATTCCATCTGGTCCCACCGCTTTATGTGTAGACAATTTGCGCAAGTCGGATGAAACTTTTCTAAGGAAACAATTAAATCTAGTGGAACTACGTTGGACGGAGTTTGGGCTTGCATCAAGGTTTCGAACTCCTGAGTGAAAAAAAAACATTAATTTGAGTAGCCAGCTCTGCAGGACTAGTCATGACGACACTTACGAATTGATGGTAGCATTCCCGCTTACCAAATGTGTCCTGTCCTGTCAGGGATTTGATGTCATGCCACCATTTCTTGGAGTTTAGTAGTTTGAGCCAGACTTGCTGTTTTCCCTCATCTTTACAAAAAAGCTTTTTGCCAACGGTTTTTTTGCTCTGTTTTTCAAGTAGACATCATCAGTGATTGTGAAGAAAGTCAATTTGTTGTCATTGTTACACTGTTTGCTTTTACTGTTTTACTGTTTTTTATCCCCTTGTTTAAATAATGAAAATAATATAATTCAGTTAAGATCTCGCATTTTTCTGTGTTGTCCGTTTATACCCTTGACTGACTGTTAACATATATTCTATATTTAGCAGGTGCAACAACAACAGCAGCAGCAACAGCAACAACGAGAACTGGGCATGTTACCCTGTCTGATGGATATTGTACCAGGAGCTCCTCACCAACGGTCTCCTTTTGTTGTCACAGCAACAGGAGCCCCTACTAATGCACGTTCTGTTTTCCCTGATGCCAGTGTGGCACCGCAGCATTCTGCCACACCAGTGGTGTCCAATAGTCCACGAGCATCACAGTTAGTAAGTAAAGGAGGGTAAAAGAGGGTACTTTTCAGACGAGTCGCTATGTCGGTACAATATTTTTTTAGCCATTAACGCAGTTTAGCAAAGCCAACGGTCATGGCCTCTTTCTTGAAAGTCCTGTTAACCGTTTGGGAGCGTAGACGCATTTCGAGATTCAAATAGTCATGACTAGATATTGATTTTACTTGCATCGTGATGTGAACGTATTCGTTTGAGGGGGAAATTACATCCAGAACCTCTCCTGTTTTGTTTTTGTTGTTTCTTTCTGTGTTATTTTTAGAGGTGCTAAAGATGCATTATTCTTTGAGCATTAGTCTGAAAAATTTTCTGTAGGTGGATTTCTTGGACATTTTTCGGGCATCGGGGGAGAGCCAGCAACAAATTCCAGATTAGTTTTCCCAAGATAATAGGAAAGCTGGTATGTAATTGTAATTCACATCTGATGATTTTAAAAAGGTTACAGCACCAGGTTGGTATCCACAGCCGAGTCAGAAGAGAGCTGCTGATGGAGATGCTGGACAGCAAGGATCAGCAGTCTTCCATAATGCCGTCAAAAGACTGCGATTCTAGGTGTGGTGACATTCAATAGTTGTTGTTTGTAGCCCATTGTCATCGTGTACTTAATAATAACACCCTTGAGAAGGCATCAGGGAGTGTAACTTTGAGATTGCAAATTTAAGTATAACGAGAACATACTTTACACAACTGTATATAAATTCGGTAATCAGTTTTGTTAGGGTTATAATAATACATTTGTGAATAAATACTGTATTTTTAAGGACCAACCCAAGTTTATTTCTTTTTCTGCTGATCAACAATCTATTATCTTCTTTATAAAAATTAAGAACATCATTAAGAACCTACTTAAGGTAAATTGCCAATAGGGCGTAGGCCAAACGTCGAACTGTACTTTTCATTCATCAGACGAACCAAACTCTTATTTGGGTCGACCTAACGTTGGGTCAGATGTTGAACTTAGGACGCGTCGAACCAATCAAGCGGAATCAGACCAAAAAGCAATTTTTAGCCGGCCAGCGGTTGTTGAGTAATATTTTTTATCTCGAACGAGGCTAAATATACATTATCATACAATTACCATCTTTTAACTTGTGGATTACGCGTAGGGTAAGGAACGAGTTATTGTGGGCACTGCGATAAGCAGATGTATCACTCAGGTGTAGACACTTTCGTAATTAGTTGGGTCGCACGAGAACTCCAGAGATCAAATCGACAATTGTCGTAGATCGATCGTCCCTGGACGTCTCCGCGATGAAGAAGTGCTGAGCGTGCATTTTTGATGTTATGATTTTGTAGCTATCATAGGATGGTAAGTTGTCTTCATGTGGACTTCGAATGTCTCAAATTAGCATTATGGCTAACTTGGAGACAGAATTTCATGAGCTCTTGAAGCTTTTTTACTTGTCCAGCTGCTTGACATGACGAAGAGATGAGCAATGTCCCTTTGACTCCCCAAGCTCACAGGAGTGTATCAATCCGGTCAATAACTTCAAGCTGACTGGAAAGTGACCTCAAAATGAGTAATCTCACGCTAATGTTTTTAAAGCGTTGATGAGAATGAGTTTTATTTGTCAAACTATAATGAGCAATACTGTTAAACGAGCACTTTTGGAAGGAAACAAGTATTGTAAGCACGCCAAGCTTGGCTGCACAATTGAAGAGTTCATGATGCGAAACCATAGAACATATGTGGTCAACCTACGGGAAGTAAACATCGTATGGAAGACGAACTAGGAGGAATAAAGTTGGAGATGCATCGGAACGTTCACGAAGTAAGTCAAAGTTTACTTGTAAATTTGGAGGCGCCCGCCGTGGCAATGAACTGTCGAGATGACACGGTGGCTCATAGGGACAAAACATTTCCCATAATCCAACACTTCCAAGAACTCAAAAACACTTTTCAGAATGCAAAACACCTCCCAGAATCCAAAATCACTTCCTAGAATCCAAAAACACTTGGTTCTGGGAAGTGTTTTTGGATTCTGGGAAGTGTTTTAGATTCTTGGAAGTGTTTTGTCCTTACGAGCCACGGTACATATGTGTACAAAGAAAATTACAGTCAAGGCAGGTGAAGCATACCCCTCCAAGTTTCTATTAATGAATTGACTGTTTGATAAATGAATCCGTTAGTCGTTCCCGTAACTGGTGTGAAATTCATGGTCAGATTGAAAATCTTTCAGTAGATGAAATTGCTTCGAAGACATATACATCAATTCAGGAAAACTGAACTGGCAGTAATTTCATGACAACCTCGCGTGTGAATTCAAGGCTCATTACGCATACATTATAAGAATGCAGACATGAACCTGAAATCTACAACTACCAACGGATTCAGCTTTCGAATAATAAATTCAATAATGGAATCTTGGGGGGTACACTTGACCTGGCTTGACTGTAAACTTATTCAAATGTTCCGAAAAGATAGAGCTGCATTAAGCTTTATGTTATATCCTGATTATGTAAAGAACACCACATTTTTCTGACATGAAAAACTTTCAACTAGATTTTGTAGAGGTAGGACTGTAGGAAAAAATACTTGTTCATCTTACTGTTGTGTGACTAGGTGTACTGCTGTGGCAGATGAGACACTTGAAATGGAAATGGGAGGTGTGAAATAGCTTAAATTATAAAGTGTAGCTCTAAATACATTATATACCTACTGTTATTATGCACCTATCAATGTAAAGCCGGCGGCGGGGGGGGGGGGGGGGGGGGGGGGGGGGGGGGGGG